GTGAGCATGCACGACCTTGTGTGTACCCACACATGTGCCCTAAAGAGCTCCCTGTAGCAATGGTACAAGCTAGAGGTACAAAAAGGGAGCCTGTCTACATGCAAAGTCAGCATGTGGGCCCCTCCAAGGAGGTCTGACCAGCTAAAGCCTCAAAAAAATAAATAAAGCAATGGTGTCTGTGGCATTATGCTGGCTGGGACACAGCCTGACCACCCTCTGGTGAAGAATCTTTTCCTAACACCCAACCTGACCCTCCTCTAGCACAGCTCCATGCCATTCCCTCAGACTCTGTCGCTGTCAACAGAAAACAGATATAAACCATGATCTGTCATCAGAGGTTTTGCCAGCGTTGCATAATCTTGATCTAAAACTCACAATAGGCACTATGATGCTGTTGGAGGTATTTTGTCTGCTATGTGCGTGAAGGCATAAGAGAAATGCAGTCTGTAGCCACATCGTCCTTAATGGGCTGCTATGCTCGTGCTGAAGGTAGCTGTGCAGTGGTAGTAGTGGCATTAGGCAATGTCAGCCTCAGCAGCCTCTGGGCCTCTCTGTATGTTGATGGAGAGCACAGGATCCCCTCAGGAGCTGTGGACTGGGCTGCTGGACTTGTTCTTGGCATTCCCACCCCACTTCCCAGCTGATGCCCCTTGGCGCTTCATGAGCGAGATGCAGCAAGTAGGCTTACAGCCTTTGGAAGAGGAGAAAGAAGGAGGAAGTGGTTATGCTGACTCGGGAGAAAGATATTTTTTGAGAACCCCATTGCCTGGTGCAAAGCATGAAGCTTTTCAGTGGGTGCCAACAATATGGTCAATACACACAGGCAGGGTCTACTAGTTCTAATTGCCAGAACCTCTCCACGTGCAAAAGGCCCAGCTTCCCCTTCTCTTCCAGCTTATCTCCAGCAGCATTTCTTCCAAGCTAAACAAAATCAGGGGCTTTTAGGAACTTAGAAATGTCTGTTTAGCTTCAGCTTCGATAAGCTCCTGCTTCAACTCATTCTTAATGTATCAAAATTAAATGTTTAAACATATTTATCTGGTTGCTATGGTTTTGCCTGATGCGTCAGACAGTTTATCCATCAACTATGACAATTGAATAATATTTTTATTTTTAGATATGGATCGCAGATCCATCTCTACATATTGGTCCCGTCCTCCCCTCGGACTCAAGTTTTGAACTCACTGGAAAATCTGTTCCATAATACAGTCAGTAAATGAATTACAGTCACAGATGGCCCCTGGAGATTTCATACATGCTGCAATTCATTTGAAAGGAATGGAAAAAAAAAGACCCTGTCTTGTGAGGGTATTATCAGAGACAGCAGATCAGACGCCATAATGCTGCCTTGCACTCTGGATTCTCCCCATTTCCTAAGCTTTTATGACTCTGCATTTGCTATTCCTGGATTTGAAATTTTTTAAATGGAAAGTCAAACTCCAGAATGAAAATGATTGAATGCAAGGGACTGCAGCATTTATAAATTAGGATTTGTTTTTACAGGCCTGAGAGAAACTATTGTGCGCTATTGCAGAGAGATGCTCAAGAACAGCAATGTTCTGTTTGGGCAGAAGTAATTATCAGAAGGGACTTAATTCACAGAAGACTGTTGGGAATTAGTCAGACTCTCAGACCACCTCAAGTGGAAGAAAATGCTAGAAAAATAACAAAAAAAATACAGTATATAATTTTACTGCTTGTGTACCTTGTTCAGTGTAGCCATGAAGCCTCCTTGCAAGCCAGCACAGGGGTCAGTAATCACTCTGCCTCTGAATGGAGGAAGGAATGGAATGTCTGATGTATCAGGCAATGGGGAAACCTTCCTTCTGCAACCACCACAGAGCATTCAGCTCCCGAGTGAATATGACAAACCTCTTTTTGTTTATGCAGTGATATATAAATTAATACAGAGTAGAATGTAGTGTGCTTATTTAACTGTCCAGACTGACACAGTGTCACCCTCTTGCACAGCCTGATTGAGAGAAGCAATACTTCTTCTGAACAGCCTTTTCAGAGTGACTTTTCCTACCTTACATTGCATCCTACTATTTGGCCTCATGGACAGCACAGTCTGATGGACAGCTGTGGGAAATTGAGCGAAGAAGGTGTTTTTCCCAATCTCATACACAGCAGCTGATGCTGAGAAGTAGCTGAGAGGCCCCACTCCGTGATGGGGCTCATTTTGGAATCCAAAGAAAAGCACCTGAAGCCTTTAGCTCACATTTCTGTAAGTGGCTGTGACCCCAGGGAGGGTTCTGCCCCCCTGCAGACCCTGTGCCAGGGCTGAATGCGGCAGCATGGGCACACATTACTCACATGTTGCTCACAATTAGTCCTGCAGCTTGAGGTTACGATGCTCTGGTAACCCTCACATAAAGCTGAGTGAGTTAAGCCTGTGGCCGTGCAGCTCAGCGCATCACTCCGGATATGTGCATGGCGACCTGGGCAGGGTGCTGTGGAAGGGCAGGGGTGCAGATTGCTGCTGTGCTTTCAGCAGCCCCATCATTGTGCAGCTGACAGCAGTCAGCGTCTGCTCCCTGTCTCTGTTTGCACTTCATCGAGTTATCTCCTTGCAAGCGAAGAACTCCCAGCTGATTGAACAGCGCGTTCATCATCTGGATTGCCCTGGTATCTCTTTAAGCATTAATGGTGCCATAAAAAGCCCACCAAAAAAAGCAGAGGGAGATCTGCTCTATTTTCCACTAAAAGCTTTTGCAGAGCCAGATTAAGATCCAAAGTGAAAAAAAAAAAAACCCACCAACACAGAACACACCAAAATACACAGAACTCTAACTTTTTCCCCATTCAAACACTGATCAAGGAACATTAAACAAACAGATTAGTTCTGCTCTTATTTGTTTGTAAAACAAAAAGCATGAAATATTTAGCAGCATTGTAATGCAAACCAGATGGGAATAATGCGGGCTTTCAAGGCTGCCTATAGCCGCCCCTTTCATGCTGCTGCAGCGGCGGATGGTGCAGGCAGCCCATTAGGACAATTTATGAACAGGACCGCCACAGAGGGAGTTCTAGCGAGAGGTCCACAGCTCATACAGAGCAACCCCGATAACATCTGTTAGGGTTATTCACTGAAGAGGATTATATTACAATCCTTCTTAATACCACGAGTGCTACAGTAAAACCGGATGAAACTTCAGTTTCATTTGCTCCAGCAACGTGCGTTTATCCGGGAGTTCTTCTGCAGTTGGAAGCAGAGGCTGCGTTCGTGGTATGTCAGGGAATGAAACTTAGAAAGACTGAAATATTAACCTGGGAAACCCCTGCACTGCTTTTAATCTCTCATGGCCACGAAGCTTGGCTTTGGCACGCCATCAGCCCTTGTCCATGGAAAGCCACTCTCTGTTAGCTCTCCAGGGCTGAGATTGATTTTATTTAAATAGTTCTCATTCGGTAACCTTGCTCCATCCTCCTTTATTTAAGTCTTTGTTAATGATGTACTTTTTCCCTTAATTTACCTAATCTCATAATGAATGCTCACATCCAACATGACCTCATTACTCTGGCAAAGACTTTTGTGTGCGTACAATTAAGGGCACAGGCGTACAGCAGAGGAGAGCTCTCTAAATGAAGAGGTTTTAAGCATTCGCTAAGATTCTCACTGACTAAAAGCCAGATTCTTACTCCTGCATATTGATTTATTTCCAACAGTTTCAATGCAGCTGGGCTGATTTACTCCACTTTAAGGTCTTTCCTAATATTGTTATTTATTGAACTTGCCACTGTTTGCTGCTGCAACCTAAACAGATATTTCCATCCTCCGAGTAGCGTTGCTGCCTGAAACAGGTAACCCAGTAATTATGACTTACGAGATTTAAACCTGCTCAAGAGTATTTTGGTGTTCTGAAATGTTTATAGTAATTCTCATTGGCTGTACTGGTCCCACTGAGTTGTTTGCAGAGTTGTCTGCAGTCTACACTTGATCAACAAAATGCCCATCCACCAGAAAAATGTGAGCTGTCTAATCTACTTCTAGGCCTGTTTCTTTGTCTGAGACAAAACCAAGTAATCCCAAATTTCCTAGCTTGTTCCAGAGGACCTGGCCTCTGGCTGCACAAAAAAAGAAACTACAAGAGGAAAATATGTTTTTCAAAAGTAAAATAAAATAAAATAGATTTATTTCATGCACTGGCTGCAGCCCTCAGAGCAGTGCATCTGCCTCCCTTCATAGCTTTCACTTGTTTTACACTTCTGGGAGGGATTTGAGCTGCTGTTCTGATCTTGACACAGCTATGGTCAGCCAAAATATTTGCATTTGTGCTTCTGGGGCCTTAGCAGGAGACAGCTTATGGGCAGGCACAGAGCCACATCACACGCATCTTGAGAAAAGTCACAAAGGCCTGGCTAAAGATCAACGTGTTCATAAACCCAACCTATGGGTTAACCTAAAATCACAGTGGTTTCCCACTCCTCCAGAAGGAACTGCCTTTATGCCAGAGACCTTGGCAGGCTGTGTCTCATAAGAACTCAGGAAAGAAAACAGCAGTGACTTGGCTGCTAATGAGAGCTGTGCATCCCCACATGTGTGCTGTGATCATCAGTCTTTAGAGATGCCAGCAGCAGCTACAGCAGCAAACTGCTCACTTACTGCACGGGGCTGAAGGCAACCTCAGGTCTGAGGATCTGACAAAATCCGCATTTGTCTCAGTAGGTTTAGGAGTGAGGGAAGCAACAGAAAGAGGTGTGTTAGAGCCTAACCACAATAAATGATATTGAATTGTAATGTGATTTAGCAAATGCACATTTTCTTTGTGTTTCAAAGAATTCTATTCAAATAGTGGCACAGTGTTACAGAAAAGCTGGCATTTTCTTTTGAACCTCACAGGGTCAGAATGGAGCATTCTGCAAAACCGTCCTCCAGCAGCAGCAATTTTATCTTTGCTTCACTTGCTCCGGGTGTTTCCAGGTCAGCCCAAATGCTCTGATGATGAGAAATAAACACAGTGAAAATGTGAATCACCCCCCAGAACAATTTAAAAGTCTTTAAAAAGAAATACTTATGTGTTTATTTACTGCATTATAACTGCAACACCAAATACATATTTTTTTCATTACAGAAAAGGGTACATGCAGTGAAATACTCTGACTTTATAACTTGAGGCAACACAGTTCATTGGTAAGAGTGAAGCATCAGCACAGTCACAAGGCTGGGGCTAAGGGTTAGGAACTTCCAGTCTCTTTATCCTGCTTGCCAACAGCAAAGCCACATCATATTTCATTTGTCATTAAAGGATAAACTTTCAGAACAATGTGGCCTGATCACAGAACAACCCACTGCCCTTTACTCCTGGAAAAGTCATACGGAATCAGATTTTTTTACTTGAGAAAATACACTTTTGGCAATGCTGATGAACAAGCAGTAATTTTGCAGGCAGACAGTAGAATTCCTGCCATGCTCCACCATGACCACAGCACACACTGTGGGTCTCCACTACACAGGTGCCCCCACTGCTGCTCTGAAGAACGAAATCAGGCCATTTTCCACAAGATTGCACTGCAGATATCTATTGCATTGGGTGCTTAATCCACTATTTCAGCTGCAGAAGGAGCAGGTTCGCAGTGCAAAAGGGAATGAAAATGCTGTCCTGAGGCACTGAGAATATAACTTCTTCCCCAGCTAAAAAGTCTCATTCTTTATTATAAAAGGGCCCGAGTCTGGCACTGCTATTCATCTATCAGAGGCTCTTATTTGTAATCTGTCCTGTGAAATTTCACGGGACTGTGTGAAATAAGTTCCTAAACAGTGTGAATAAATTCCAGAATCAGGCCCCAAGCTGGCACCATTTCCAGCATAAACTCTCTTGATTTTCAGTCAAGACTTTTTAGTAAGTGCTACATAACACAGCCCAGACTTGCAAAAAAATGACCTGATTTCTTTCCGCACATCTTGTGTAAAATAACACTAAGGACAACTTAACTTCGGCAATTTAAATGAAAAATAAAGTCAGTCTTTCTATGCAGTTCTATTTTTACATGATTTCATAGAGACATTGTACAGAAGCTTACAGCTCCTGGAGATAATTCTAGCAAACAGGAGGACATATACGAAAACAAAGATCTTCAAAACTACATGGAAATCTGTAGAATAAAATATATATTTATATATTATTTTCCAACAGGCAATAGGCAGTTTAGAAAAATATGAGTGTTACAGTCCTTCTGAATCAATAGTCATACAAAGAAAGGTTTTAAAAAATAAGTTTATCTTTTCAAAAAGCCACTTTTATAAGAAAATAGACTGGTCCACATTTCCCTGAATAAGCCAGAAAGGTTAAGGAAAGGTCTGGGCAAGACAAGAAGTCTGCCTTGGACTTGATATCAGCTGTGATAACATGCACATGTACAGAGGCAGCTGCTTGGCTCTGGTATTGTTTACCTTAGGAATGAGCCTAATTTATCACAAACGTATTTTAAAATCATAAATAACACGACAAAAGCGGCACTGGTCCCTATAATGCAAATAATTATTCATACAAGCAAAAAGTGACATCAATCCAGTTATTGTGACACTTGAAAAGTATTTTGTACCCAGTGGTCACATTGAACAGCACATGTATAAACACTGATTATTATTACAGACTCTCCTATCAGCTACTATACACAAACAAGAAGAGATGTTCACACTGTAATTGCTCCTAACATTTCTGCTCTACTTAAGTATTAGCACTCAGGAGAAGCTGGGCTGATGGAGGGGGGGCGCTGAGCTCAAGGCAGGATTTCAACATGCAGAGGGTATGGGGTTCTGCTCCTCCCCACTGCCAGCTCTGGCCCCTCAGAGGAGCTCTAAAGAATTAAAACTGTTAACAATGTGTGCTCCTGTTGTGAACAGACCTAGGTTTACTTGGTGCCCAGAAGCAGGTGATCTAACATGGGGCACACAGGTGGAACTGAGATCCATATCAGTAAACTTCTAATTCTGGAGAGTTCTCATTTTCATTCAATGCAACTTATAAAAGAATACCTTGATATTTGCTAACTTTCATATTAAAAGTAGAGAGTGGATTGATTATAGAAAACTTTGCCTTGGTTTGTTCTTGACAACTTTTAAATACATTATTTAGAAGCTCTTATTGATTTTGTTCAAAACAGGAGTAGATTCCTTCTATTCTTTTTGTGAACCATATGGGATATCTATGCATTCTAGAAGGGAGTTTCAGCACATTTCTTTACATTTTCTTCTTGCTTAAAACTAAACAAAAGCACAAAAATAGGTGGAAGTAAGATTGATGGCGTGCTGGTGAGGGGACCCAAGGCAGTTTATAATCCAGCCTTGTTCATTAACTTGGGCCCGAGACAGCCAGCTGTTTTGAGAAGTGAGGACAAGTCCTCTGCAGAAGCACTGCAAGTCAGTTATATTGCTAGCAAGCAATAATGCAATTTCAGGGTCTCCTGCTACATTTAACATCAGTGCAGCGTTACGTATTACAACAGACAATGACAGAAGAATGCGACACCAGTGGTATTTCTCATAAAGATGTTTCACAGTGGTCCAGCATGCTGCAAGAGATGAGAAAAAGGTAAGAGGGCAGCCTGGAGGCTGAGAAGGTGGAGGACACTCTCCTGGAATCAGTGATAAACTGGGTTAACACAAATTAGAAGGAAAAAATGGAAATAATGACAGTGATCAAAAGCAATGCATTCACTGAGACAAAACCAATGAGGGTTTCAAAGAAGCATTGCTGACTTCCAGTCAACCAAATGTACGGAGCAGAAACTGCTGTTTGAGAATGGACACATGCTGAAAACATGCAGCACCCAAATACCTTCAGAAATAGCTGGTGCTCAGCCTGTGCTTCCCAGGTTAAACTCTTACAGGATCTGATCTAGGAAGGTAATGGGAAATAATCCTGGATGCTTTTCAACCTCAGAGGCCAAAGCCCTGACTCAAAGTTAAAGCTCATTAAACACATACCTCTAAACATTCTCAGCTTCCTTTTAAGACATAATTTCTTCTAAAAGCTGCACTTGAAAGTTACATTGAAGTGGAATGTCCTCTTTCTTTAAGTAGAACAATAATTACACACCCCATTACATGTACGAAGGTTGCTCCAAAAGTAATGCCTCCTATTTCTTTCCATGGAAACAATCACAGATGCAAAAGGCACAATAACAGTATTTGATGGAGCAAATTTTCAGCTACAAAATGCTATTTTTCAACATAGTCACCACCATTAGCTATGTATTTTTGCCAGCACTGAATAAGAGCCTGCGTGCTGCGCTGGTAAAAACCTACATCAGTGGAGGTGACCCACTGTTGCTGTCACCACTGCTGAAATGCACCACCCACTGCCTCACTGTGCACACATTCACCACTTGGTCTCCCAGGACATCCTCCAAGAATCAATGGATGTCAGTGGGTACCATTTTTTTCCACATGGAGGAATTCAATGACAAGATTTTGCTTCATCCGTGCTTCCATGTCAGATGTCAGTTTGTCAGAGTGCCCGTCTTCTGTCATCTGTCACAGAGCAACAAAACGGAACAGAATATTGGTGGGAAGGTTCAGCCCCTACTACCATACCACCAACATCTGCCTCTGACATCATGGGCCAACATAATAACATAGGAGGCATTAATTTCAGAGCAGTGTCCATATATAGAGACACATATATCTTTCTTAGCCATGGAAATTACCATACAGAAGTATTGATATCTGTAGTGAAACCAAGCTTGTGGTGTTCAATGCTTATTCTTGACAACAACAACAACAAAAAAAAGCAAACAAAAAAAATCTGGTTTTGAAAGCAGGGGCATTTAGGAGCAGTAACAGCTCCAGGCCCTGACTGAAGGCCTCATGCAAAGCATGGGAGTCAGCCGGCAGGCTGCAGCCTTTCTTTGGTTTTCAGCTGCCCCAAACTCCCCTTTCTTTTTAAACATATATCTTTAGATCAAATCAAACTGATAAAATAGTTTGTTAGGGAGCTTAATGAAACTACCTTGATAAAATTGATAACTTTTTTTCCTAACGAAACAGAAAATAAACAAAGAGATCCTAGCTTATGATGATGTGTAACAGGACATTCAGCCATTCCAGGCAGCTCAAGGTCACAGTGCACCGAGGAGACAGTCCAGCTCAGAGGCACATGATAGCATTTACGTAGGCAGTAACAGCCAAGGGTAGTAAGAGCTGAAACTGAAACTCTGCCCCTCCTTGCCAAATAATGGGCAATTTTTTTGTGCAAAGATTGGATTAGCAATCAAAACCTGCTTAGAGAGAAGAGAAAAAGCACCTAGGCAGGCTATGAACAATACTAATGATAGGGCTTTCATCACCAATAATGGTTTGTTAGCAGTTCTTTGGACGCCAAGGTGCAGATGTGAATATTGAGGACAGTCTCTGAGCTCAGAAGGCGGATAGGGCAGAAGGCAGATGGGGGCAAGACCTGGTCAGGAGGCACAGGAGAGATGGTGGCAGGGACCAGAGCCCCTTGGATGGCTTCAAAGACTGTTCTGGTACAGGCGGAAATGGGAAAAGGCAGAGCATCTGCAGGAGGAACTGCAAGTGGGGGAGAAGACAGGGCAGGCCACCAGACTTGGATTAGGATGTTCAGTTGGGAGAGAACACAGGACTGGGTGTGGGCAAGGAATGGGATTAGCTGGGATTTGTTTTGCAACTCTGTTGAGAAAAGGCCACAATACAAATTTAAAGGGTGGGCTAATCTGTGCTGTGTAAGAGAATGGTGACAGAAATGGTCAAGTGCATGGCTGACTTTCAACATAATAAATGGCAGAGAAGACTGGGTTCACTTTAATAAGGAAACAAAGTAGACAAGATGTGATAAAAGAAAGAGGATAAATGATCTGGAGAGGGTAACACTGGTCTTCCTGTTTCCTTGCATTCAACATTCAGGGGCCAGAAGAAGAAAGTCAAACAATTCCCACCAATGCAAAGTCAGCTCATTGGAATCCCTTTTTCACACAGCTTGTAGGGAGGACGTGGAACTCATTGCGTAGGAGCCAGAAAGCCACTAGCATAAATAAGGTACCAAATAAGCTCACCCCCCAAATCCAGGAGACTGAAGGCCACATTTAGCATTTACTTGGAAATGAATTCCTATTTCAGTTTCATAATGAACCTCTAATTCCTATCGATTGAACAGAGACCTCTATGATTATCTTTCTATCTACAATAGCATTTCCTGTACCTTTTCCTGGAGCATCAGCGCCTACCACCTACAATTAATCTGTCACTGAGCTGTTTGAATCAGCAGTTTATTCTGCATTTATTAAGAGAAAAAAATCCTTGAAGCTCAAATTTTACCTACAGTGAAACTGCCTAAGGAAACCTCTTTCGACAGTCAGCAAGGTGAACCTGGACGATGGCCATGGTGAAAATTTTGTCAGGCAGACAAGAAGGCCAAAGCTTGTTCTTGTGTCATTAGTTCTGGGTTGCTCTTGTTAAGTCAATCCTACATGTTCATCTCTGGCATCGAGATACCAGGTTGCCTTTTGATGTCTCCTGCCACTGAGATGTTGTATCTTCAGTGATGCAGTTTCATCTCCTACATAGTTTAATAGGAAGGCGGATGGCTCACTGATGCTACTACCTAACATCTGGCAATTCCTGAGGTAGGTTAAGTAACAGGTGTCATGCAGGCTACTGCTTGATTCGGTATATTTATAACATTTATTTCTTTGTTTTCCATATCTACTGATAACTCTCTGGTAGACACATTGATATTTTAAATTCCATAGATAAGAAAATATATTTTTTTAAATGCTATATTCATGCATCTTTGCTTTGTTTTACCTTTGAGCAAGTGCAAAATAAACCGTAATTCTTAGACATATTTGTGCCAGTCAAAAAGTGACAAAAACATGCCACACAGTTTCCCAACACCTATGACTAATTTGATTTTAACCCACTATAACCTATTGTATAATTATGTTTAAATATGGCAAAAATAGTACAATTGCTTTCTGAATGAATCATGATGTCTGCACCAACAATGTTATCCTTAGCATTTTAATAAACTGGCTTCTGAGAGCCAGTTTTTATTTATTTTTTTCTTAAGGAAAGAAGACAATGCACCTTCCTGTCAATACAAGTTAAAGGAATTCCCATATATGAAATCTTCAAACCTTCTTAGTGTTAATGAGATATGTATGCACACACATCAAAGTAAAACATTTCCTACTTGATACTGGAGAAGAGATCAGACAGGGCAAACTCCTGAGGCCGTGGAGTAGTTTAACAGAACATAACACTGACATGTTAGAGACTACCATATGACTGTCTTGTGATGGCATTTTTCTTGGAGACATTTGTTATTTCCGAGGCCTTTGATTATTCTAATGGAAATGGAAAGTCATTGTAAAGCTCTGCAAATTATCCAGCAATTATCAGCTGTTTCCATTAGGTTATTGTCTCAGTCCGGACAAATAAGCCAGTATTTTGGAATAAATGATTATCACTCTGGAAATCCATTCTGTGCTAACAGGGGAATATGATGTTTTTAATGCATTTGAAGAACTGAACAAGTTTTTCATAAAAAGATTTTTTGAGAGTGCATATAAAATAGTATTTAATACAATCTAAATTGCTAGTAGGAATTAGAGAAAGGGCCACGTGGCACAATAACAATTTTCTACCTCACAATATTGCAGTCATGGAAAATTCAGTTGAAAGTGTCTGGCTACAAAATCAATTACAATTTATAAAGTAGGTTTGCTTTCACTCCAAAGACTGGGTTTGAACCATGCCCTTGGGGCTGTGCAGAAGTCTTGCTTTAATGCATTGGCACCAGAGTATAGGATTTTGCCTTCAACACTGAAGAGTCATTAATGTGGTCAATCAACTACCGGATCCAATAGGGCAGACAAGAGAGCTTGGACAGAAACATGAGAAATCTGCTCTGTGAACAGGCTTGGTGTCTACACACAGTGTGGGCTATGTGGCCTGAGCCAGATGCACAAACAGTCTACAAGTTTGAACATGATCTATCTTATAGGGCTTTGGCAGCCTGACTGGCTAGATTTGTGTTAAAGTAGTGGAAACATTCAGGTATGGATGCTTATCTGTTTTGTACATCCCAGATTTTGGAAGGGGATGTTTTAAGACAGGGACCCCAATCTGAAGCTGAGTTACAAAACATCTCAGTTATGTACATATGTCAGAGATCCATGAGCTGAGGGTTTTATAGGCACAAAAGCAAGGCTATAATCCCCAAATAACCTGTGAGCAAAGATTCAGACGTTAAGAACAGTGCTCAAGATTTCAAGGATGGATTTGGAAATAATGTGAGTTAGTTTGTGCTTTTGGGAATCTGAACTTAGCTTAGTTTCCTGGAAGTTGAAGTGCCTTTTGTTTTCATAGTTTTTTCTATTGATGTGATTAATATTTATGCACACTTCCAGCTATCAGTACCTTTAACTTTTCAGAAAAAAAAAAAAGGGGAATAAAAAAGAAGACAAACTTGGATTTACATCTCAAGTTTACTTTTGTGATATCTAGAATTTCTTCTTAGAAAAACAAAGGGCCTAATTTTCATCTCACACCCACATTGGAAAGTGAGGCCAATGGCATTATAAAGATGTGAATTTATTATAAGTGCTATGAAAATCAAAGTCATGTGCTTTGATTAGCTTCCATTGCAAAGATGTAGAAAGATTCATCACTTATGTGAGATTACTCAAGTTAGTGAGAATAGATTTACTGAGATTTAAAGTAAAAATTCCAAGATTATAGACAGAGGATTTACAGAATGCAAAACCAGCAGCAACAGTGCTTTTGTCACATTTTTTTTTTCCCCAAGTGTCACAACACTGAAACATCAAGGTTCTTGTTCTGTTGTGGTCCTTTCTTCAAAATACTTTTACCCAGTGGCATACTCCTGGGGTATCAAATTCATTTGTCAACCTATAAAAGTCATCCAGATCAGAAAGGCAGGGCGAAAAGAAGTCTGATGTGAGAGTTTGTGGAAAACTTGTGCATCTCCCTGCTGATTTCCCCTGTAGCCATACTTTTCCTCATTATTTTTAATTTCTTTTTCATCACTTTTAGTTTCCTCACATGGAAAGGCAAAAAAATAAGGAAAAAAAAAAGGGAAGGCAATGTGGCTATGCCAGAGAACAGCGCACACATACACAGAACCACATAGCGCAGGTTCTGTTACTGCCCCTCTTCCCCCACACTTCTCTTTTGTCAGAGCATTTCATTTGAAATGGAGATGTGGATGATGATTAGCTCCTTGCTGTGGAGCTACAGGGTTCTTCCCCTGGGGCTGGCAGCAATATTTAGGGAAGCACTGCGGGAATGTGCATGATTCTTGAACAGCTAATGAGGGGAGAGAAGGAGGCATGACCTCCGCCTCCAGAAGGAACATTTGCAAAGAAGGAATTCATTCACTCCACTCTCTGATGACTTATAGCTCTCCATCTGGCTTCTCTGTGGCCGAAATCACAGACTCTGCCTTTCCTCACTCTCTGCTTAGATAGGAATGCATTTAGTTATTGCTCAGCATCGCTCCTCACCTCCCTGTTTCCGTCCACACTCTGCATCTCTCCTGCTGCCTCCTGACACTTGCACCAGTTCAGATCCAGTGAAGACATTCCCCTTGTGCTCTACCCAAATATCTTTCTTCCTATCTTTTCTCTTTGCTATATACTCATTTACTCTCTTGGCAGAAATTTGACATTTTTATGCAACTCTAGAAAAAGCAGTGCAGTTGGAAGCATTATGGGGAAGCAGAGAAAGAGAGCTGATGGCAGAAGAGTCTCCCCAGGACACTGAGGAAAGGCCCTGTTGAAAACTCTTACTGAAGAAAAGGTGTTTAACATGTGATAGCTTCGGTACTTGTGCAGGGAGAGGGAATAAAAAACATTCAGAAACCTTTCCTGCTTAGAGCCTTATTATTTTTCAAGAGACTTTCTAGACTTTATAAATTCCTCCTTCTCTGTCTTTATCTATTTTTCACATCTGCTTTTTCTCAACTCCCTTCTTAGCCCCCCAGCTACTAAATATTTTACCTGTTCAAGATTTAATATTATTTGGAAGCTTATTTGGAAAACACCAAATACCACCTGCTGGTACTGACAAGACAAGCTTCTCCTACAGGAAAGCCAGGGTGGGAAAAAATAAGTGTTTCTTCTGTTAAATTTTTCTCTTTTCCTTCTATTTATTTTCCTCCTGGCTCAAATGCAAGGAAATTAAGATGTAGCTCTCAGAAATGGTAAAAAAAATTCAGAAATTTAGAATTCCCTCTTCTCTCAGGAATCAATGAACCAATGAGGTAAAACACCATCAAGAATGGTTTCATCACAGTAAAGCTGAGGTTTGCTTTTCCATTAAAGCCCCATGTTAAAATGTACATTTAAAATTTTTATAAATCAGGCATGAAGCTAGAAAATAAATGGCAAATTGTCATCATCTCAAGCCTTTAGAATGTAGATAAATCTATATTTTGATACATTAAGTTTACACAGTTTAACAAACCATTATGTAAAAACACCCTAGAAATGAATCTTGTTTCCAGGATGGTGTTATTAAAGTACTTCTGACTTTTGTAATGCTGACATTGAAGCAGGCTGTATCACACTGTTCAGGCTTTATGATCCATTCCCGAATGCCTCTGCGTAAAGTAAAAAACCAAAACAAACCAAAACAAACAAAACAAAACTCTCCACTGCTTTTTGGAGACAAAATCACTGATATGAACTTCCATTCAGTGCTCAGGAATTTGTTCAGAAAATTATGGCCTTATTTTAAAGGTTCTCTGCAGAGATGTATCATAAAAAGTCATTTTTTTTCCAGCTTTCCTCCCACTGTATTCTACCTCTCCTGATTCAGGTGGGTTGGAGAACACAGTAATTGGTAAAAAACGAGAACAAGAGAAGGCCCACCCCCACTCCTGTTGAACTCAGAGGAAAAATTTCCATTACCTTCTGCAATACCTGCATCTGAATACTGAAAAAACAGATCAAGATTTTAAATAGAATTGTCCCATTTTTCCTCGGCTAAATGTCAGCCTCAGTAAATCGTTCATTCTCTTATTTGCATTCTGGTGCATGCCCAGATCTTTGCGTACATGCTGACTTTTTTGTAAATAACAAAAAGCTGATTTTAAGTAACACCCAAAATAACAACAGCAAAACCATCATTCAGTGGCCCTTGTTGAAACACAGTAAAAAGAGAAACACTGCAGGATTGCCCTCAAACAGTGGATGAGTGGATGGTGAATGTTTGTATGGCCACAGTTGTGCATTTATATATATATTTATATGTATATATATATACATATATATATATATATACACTCATACACAATCTCTATATACACATTATAAACATAATAACAAAACACTGTAAAAATATTAATTTTGCTCATATGCTTGAACAATGTGGACTGTTTTTATGATGCATTTTTGTGATATATCCCGTTGATAAAACAGCCTTGTTAGAAGCTCTAAATCTACAATACTTGCAATTACTAAAAAAATGAGTCTGTACTTTTGTGAGTCACCTCTTGCCGTGACAAGCAGTTAGGTTGGAGGTGGGCCCTCGTATCTCAGCATCAGGTTGAAGGACCGGGCAAAGTTGTTGGCCAGTGTGCAGCTGTGCGTCTTCTCTGCCAGGGGCAGGAGGAAGGCCAGGAGCAGGAGGAACAAGAGGAGCAGTTGCAACGGTAGCGATGCCCAGCATACTCGATGCAAGAAGGAGCACATGCCTCCAGAGCGCCTCTGAAAGACACAAATCAAAGAGCTACTCAGAAAAATAAAGAACTGAGGAGGTACATGTCAAGTACATCAAACTACAAGGCAGAGGGGCAGAACAACCCACACTGCCCACAGCAAAACAGATCTTAGCGTCCAGCTGACTGACACTGGTGCTTCAACCATTTCTTTTAGTGACTATGTCACTATTTTAAAGAGTTCACTGCTGAAAATTTTGTTCTAGCATGAAAACACTGCTGACTTCCTAAGAGAGGAAAATGATTGCCTCCAAGTCCTTTTCCAAATCAGAAAGTGTCAGTAAAATACAGGTGCTGGTGCCTAGAAGAGGGGACCCAGCCTTCTGCTCTCTGACAGCAGATGGAGCCTCATTTGCAGCATGTGCAGCTGGTTACCCTCTCTCCAGCTGCCATGTGCTCCTTGAATCTTGACTTGGGGTGTAAGAAGCTGGTGGCAAGAGAAATGGCCCTGTACTGCTGTCTGCCTCAGTTCCTCTTACACTTTCATCGGATGTGAAAGAATGACAGACAACAATACACTGACCCTGGGAAGGACATTAAGGTCACATTTATTGCTGAGTAGCCACCAAAGAGGCACAAAGAAGTCATGTTATTTCTCCTGATGCTAACTCAGAGCGGCTCTCTTAACCTCATGAATTCAATCTGGATGAACACAACCATGAGAGAACATATTTAGAGCTAAAAAAAAATCAGGAAAAATTAATTAAGAAGTGAGATTTTCACCAGCAGCATTCTTGCATATTTCCTGCCAACGGACTGAACTGTGCAAGCTTCATTAAATATCAGCAACCTGTAAGGGCCTCCAGAAAAACAGGGCTCAGTAATCCACTTTTAATTTCATCAAATATGGATTTATAGTCAGAAAGTAGAATTAATGTTTCATGCTGCTCCAGTAGTAGGTATCAACCTACATCATGAATATCCACTCAGAATATCCACTGAAGTGAGATCCATGTTTTTCACAGAAGGAAGTTAACTCAGATGAGCTTGGGTTGTGTTCAATCCACGGGGAATGTCAGTACTACAATAAAATGGGGACTTCTGGCTAGATATATGGTTTAATGGGCAGCTGACAGCTTCCATTTTCACTGACCATTATTTGTTTTTTAATTCTCCATTACATCCACAATATGCAGCAATATCATGTATATTTATTATAGTACGCCATCTATGAGGAAAAAGGCCTTTATCAGGTTCCAGAAGACATGGGTAGGTTTATTTATTAACTAGTGATTTATTAATCACTAGTTCTAGTGATGGAAGAGAGATGGAGTTACCTCTGCACTGGGACAATTCAAACCATGCTCCTTCTACCACTGAGATGTGATAGGATTTAATGCTGATGTTATTAAAGGCAAGGATCCTGACATGCAATTAACTGCTCAACAGTTCATTATGGCTGAGAGTCACAAGATGTTCCTTACAAATTCCAGATGGGAATTAGAAGTCCATCTGTCTTTGACACTCGGCTGTGGCAAGGACTGCCAGACTTTGTAGCACCACCTAAAACATGATTTATAGCTATTCATCTTTCAGTGTTTAATTTGAAAGCTACCTAAATCAGCTGCAACGCCCATCCTCCTGCCTGTGAGCTGGTAGGAAATAGTGGGCTTTTTCAGTTGTGCCTCATCCCTGCTCCTGTTACAACCCAGGAAGCAGGTGCCCTTTGGTCACTCAGTTTGTCTTTGATTTCCTATTATGACCCCACTGCCAACGTCAAACACACATTATTCCTACCCCAAATCAATAGTGATTCAACATTTCATTCAGAGCACATCACTGACTCCAAAGCAAAGACTATTAATGCAGCTCTAAGAAATAAGATGAAATTCAAACGCTGTTCATCAAGTGCATTGTTTTTAGATCTACGGGAAGGAGCTGTAAAAGGGTACTACCTTTTAAAGCAAATTGACCAGAAAGAATTAATTAGAAATGGCCTTATCAACAAGCTACTGTTTTTGCTTCTTGGAGCTTTCTGTAGGGTAAGATGCTGAAGCTAACCGCAGAAGTTCCTAGCATTAGAATAATCTGTTGAGGAAATTTTGCATGGGGGTAGAATTTCAGAGAAGGATAAATATTTTGTTTTTATCTGCTGCTTCTCTCCTGCTGTCTTGCTAGGGTTATAGGCATTTGTGTTTGATGAACTTCTGTCTTTGCTGCCTAGCTTTTCTGTTTTGTTTGACCACACAGCAAGGTCAGAATCTTACATTTTTGAATCCATTTGTTGCCATGGAAATGACTCTCCTCTCACAACCACAGCATTATGATATCTCTGCAGGATGGAAGATGAGGCACACAAGAGCTGTGAGAGTTTGGTGCTTTCAGCAAATTTGCAATGATAAGTCCTCATTATATGAGGGCCCCAACCTGCACACACTGAAATCCATGGGAGATTTACCAATAACTACAGTGTTTGCAGCAGGATTATGCAGAGATACAACTAAATAGAGTCTGTATAGAGAAATACTTATTCATGGAGTTCAACTGATACCCTTACAAATGAATTCATTACTTAGATGTAGTGCTGGTAGTCTTGTGTACATAAATTCTACATTAATTTTGTTGTTTTGGAACAATTTGTGACAGGATTTTGTGTGTGCATGTGCTAGCACTGCTAGAGGTGCAACAGTTTAAGGGTAGAAAATAGGTGAGTTACACAGCTGAAAAAGTGTGGAAGTCTTGGAACAAGTATGAACAAAGAAGCACGTCAGTTTTACTAAGGATACATCAAGATATTTTTTCTGTACTGCAAGAGAGATACTTTCACAGTCTGCAGTCACCTGTGAATACAGACTGACTGTAAGGGAATTCTTGAGGCCAAGGTTAAAACCTCTGCTGCGCTGGGCTAGGGGTGATCAAGGCTGTACAAGTGTACTGGGATTCAAGACCACACTCCCAACAATTTAGCACATCATTCTGGGTTAGAAAAGGACAGTCTGACGTGGTTCCACCTTTGCAAAAGACAGTTTGTACATTCCATTTCCATGTGAGATCAAAGGTGGGAACCACAAACCTCACTATACGGTGGAATTCCTTTTTTCCAATCACTGCAGCTACTGGCACCAGTACAGCTACTACCCATCACCCACAGTGTCTGCAGTGTGTGTCAGATCCAGGCTTCACAAAATACTCTGAAACCAGATCCCTCTCTGAGAAAAACTGGCAATGCTCCACCGAAGTCAACAGAACTTTAATTTCCACCATCTTAGAATAACAGTTAGAATACTTGGGTATTGAGCCAAAGTGTCAGAGACATTTTTGAAACACACACAGAAAAGGAATAGGTTGATATTTAAAATGAAAATATACATTTAAAGTTCACCATCAAGGATAAATGCCTGTTCCCTACCCTTTGTCCCTCAAAGTATCAGGAGAAGCACGGATTGTCAAGAGGTAGACAGCTGTGTTTTGTGTAATGCTAAATGCACGCTTGTTACCAAATGAATTGTATTGGCTGTGAACATTCATATTTGCACTTGATTCATGTTAGGGAGTTTGAATGACAAGCATTGGTTTAGACCTAGAAGTCCTTGGTTACTTAAATCTGTTTGCAGTTAATAACTCCTTACCCAATGCACTGTGAAAATCACTTGGACAGGGAACAGCGGAAAAGCACTTTAGAACTCACTACCTAATATTCCTGTATATTTTGTTGAAGTGCTTTCTAAAAATCACTGCACCCCCTGGTTTGCTGCTGACCACATTTCTGGATGTGTGAAAAATTGTTAATCTAACTACATGAGGAAGCAAAGGAGTACAGCATCTAATATCATTCTCATTAATGCTTTTTTTTGATGTTTTTGTATGTCACCAACATGTCTGATAGAAGTCACACCTGTACCACCGAATCAATAATTCAGTAGAGAAAAAAGATCGCATCTGGATTAATTCATTTTATCTTGGAGCATTTCACTGACAGACTATCCCAGGAAGAACACTCCTGTTCTTCCCATGCATAAGGGGAACTACTCCTTAATATTCTCAGCCTGCAGTTGCTTTCAGCTCTGAGTATGTCCTCAATCTGATGCAGCTTGTCTATCTAGTTAACACTCAATAAATCTTTCCTCTTTGTACTTATCCAGTTTCCCCTTGAATCTACGCAAACCTCAGTCTATGCATAAGCCCTCAATATCATTTAACAAGGAGTTCTACAGGTCAAGTAATGGTGGCATGAAGAAGAAAACTCCTTGTGTTAGCCTTGAACCTAACCCCCAGTTCTTGTGGAAAGTCTATCCCTAACTGTACTCTGCACTATTCATGAAAACTCTTGAGTTAAAAGCTTAGACAGGATGAATCCTGGCTTGTATCTCCTCAGTGGACAAATCATAACATAATGGGCTTAAACTACAGCAAGAGAGAGGAAAAACATTTGGAAGGGACCTTGGAAGGGATCACCTACATGGGTGTGAATTTTACTACTTCATTATTCCTCTGAGAATAAACAGAGCTGCCAAGAAGGCAGTAACAATAGTTTATCATTCTTCTAAATAGAAGTATGCCACTGTCATGTACCATAAACTTTTTTATGGTCAGACAGTTGCCTTTATCAGTAATATTTTGCCTCTGAGAGGCCCTAGATTTCTGCCACTTGAAATGCCACTAGAAACTAATTCAGCTGCTGCTTATAGAGGCCAGTACTGACAATTGACTAAGACCAGCGGAGATTGCTCTCACAAAACGAAGTGAGTTGGACTTCTATCCCTATGTGAGACTAGTTGGAACTCCTCAGTAGTTCCCAGGAAGGAGTCATGAGCATCCCTCTCAGATGCACAACATATTGCAAATCACAGTTGGCATTTTCAAGAGTGAAGGAATTTTTTACTTGCTGATGTCCTAATTGAGGAGCTGGTTGCCACTGACTCCACAGAGCTGAGCAAGCAGCATGCTCTGGGACAAAGCAGTGGCTCATTCCCATACACCACAGCAGAAACTAAGAACTGGATACCATTGACCAGAGGTTTTCTGGCCTCTGCAAAAGGAAAATGAGCC